TATTTAATTCGGCTGTGAAACTGGATAATGGTGTGCCACTTTCTGATACTATCAAAAACCTATCAAATATACTCTCAAAAAAACCATTAAATATTATTGCTGGAGGGGTAGGAGCATCAATGTAATTGATATGTGGTACCAATTCTGTCGGTGACAAATAGTTATCCCATAATGACAAAAATCCCAGGCCATGCATGAGTTCGTGTGTCGTCAATAGTACAAATGCTGTCTGATTTTGATTAATTGGAGTTACATCGTCTTCAAACCAATATTCATAATTGGAGTTAAACTCTGCATTTATGTCAGAAGGCAAAAATTCCGGATGTGTTGCAAGTCCGAATTGCTTTACTAATGATTGTGGGTATAGTCTGACCACTCCATCTCCACCCTTCAACCCAATTGATCTGGTTGGTCCTGCAAAACCTAAATAAATAAATGAAAATTAAATTTTATAAAATCATAATAATTGTAATTGTAATTATTATTAGTATTGTTACCTAATGAAGTTGGTTCTTGTGATTTAAAAGCGATATCTACGGTGATAGGTTCGCTAAATTTTATAACATCAGAAATAATTTTCCCTGTAATGTCCAAGTTTTTTGTAACTTTGTCACAAAAACCTAGTTTTTCTGGAAAATTACAAGTAATATTGAATTTAATCATTTTATCATCTCCAGCTTGATTTTTGATGGATTTTGGCTCTCCTTTAACAAATAAACAGTCAACTCTTTTTATTCCATTTTTGTCATGATCGTAACAACTAGTTATAGTTGGTTGTGCTGGAAAGGAGGAAACATTTGTAATATTCGAAAGTGTCAATAACGATAATAATAATAATAATAATAAAAATGGTGCTGGAGAATGATTATTCATTTTAAACAAATCGTTAATTAAAAGATAAGATAAAACTTTTAAAAAGGATTTGACAGAGTGTATTTATATGCGTTAGATGCACGCATTTTATTTGCATATTTAATATCAATGTAATTTGAGAAAACCTCTCCATAATTGAAAATATTTTTATTTTCATTAATAAAATGGAAATTGGCTGATTATTATTATTATAAAAAGTAAACTACTATACGCCACTAAATTTCCTTTTAGAAGAAACCCGCGGGTGTTGCATTAGCCTATCAGGGAATATACCAAATATAGAAATCGATTCTAGATTTTTTTTGCCGAGTTTAGAAAATACTTCCCATTATATCAGGTTACATTTTTCCTACAAGAACCCTAAAAATAACAAGTTTTGTAATCGAGGATGCGCAAGTGAGCAGAGAAACCGTTCTGGGAACACAAAATTTTAACCCACGCAATTTGGTGGTTGACCAATCAAAATAATAACGTAGAAATAAATATTAATATTAATATTGGTTTGATTCATTTTGTCAACAATCACCTCACCAACAATCATTTAGTTAACGAATCTAAGAAGTTGGAAGCAAGCACGAGACAAACCATTGAAACAGTCTAATAAGTTAAATTGTACTACTCGAAAATGTATTTAAAGGGTTGGTTTTCGACTTGGTTGAAGAATAACTCTCTTCCTAACTCTTCTCTTGACCATATCTCTCAATATAATCAAAATAACCTTAACATAACGAATGTCAATGAAATGATCGTAAACGCGACCAAATTAAGATACATGATCGAGAGGAAACATGAACGATGTATGAAAAAATCAAACAAATTTATTTAATAAAACAAAATTTACAACTCAAAAAAATTTTTTTTTGCATGTAATAAAATTCCATTATTAAATATTAACCATCTAATTATATAGATCTTGATCGATCAACCCGCCTATATAGTTATTTTATCAATTATTCAATAGTTTGTACAAGCATTAAGGACAAGATCTACGAACAAAATATTGTAACGAACGTTTTATCAATCATTCAATAGTTTGTGTAGGAGTAATCGAAGTAAGCTTTAAGGACAAGATATATGAAGATTGAAAAATATTCTAACGAAGGTTTTATCAATCATTCAATAGTTTATATAAATTTATCTTTATATTTAATAACATCACTATTTTCAAAAATCATGTGACTGTAAAATTTTTATTGCATTTTTGATTGGACTAAGTGACTTGCACTATACATACAAAGTAATCTATTAATAGCCTAACGCGTACGTACAAAGAAGTCGAGATGTTTATTTACTAGATTAAGGTAACTTTTATGCGGTTTTTACTTTCATATGCTTTATAATAAAAAAGTAGAAGCTGCATGTGTTATCATGGTGATACGATGTATACAAAACAGTCCAATTTTTAAACATTAACTATATTATTTTATTACTATAGTAAAAACGATATACAAAATAGTCTAATTTCAACAAATGTTTTTAACATCGATTTACTATTACGAAAAACCAAATTAGCGTTGACTCATCTCTATTGACCCTTTTCGTTTAACAATTTCAATCCCTTGTATTCATTTATCAAACATTCCTACCTACCTTCAAGGAATCAAAGCTGAAATCAAAAATGTCCATAGGAAGGAGATTGACTCATCACCACATAGAACCGACCAAGAGCAAACATATTTTGATCTATGGTCAAAGGTGACGTCAAGTCTTGTGGACGTTTAATGCAAAAGGGTTCTGTAAAGGGATTTCACTTCGGTTTGGGATTGTTCAGGTTGATTTTCTGGATTTGGTTGTAGAAAGTGGGAAATGGCGTAATGATTGATTCTATTATCCATGATTTCAAAAAATTAAATTAAGTGTAGACAATTTTTTTGGTTAATGAGCAAAAAATTTTATTTATTTTATTGAACAAAAAAATCTAACCACATCAATTAAATTTAAATTGAAAATTAATTTCACAACAGAAACTATCAGATCCTTCATTCATTCAAGGTTTTTACATTTCTTTTAAACCTTTTTGATTTAAGGAATTTAATCTCTTATACTCATTTATGACATTGACGTCCACTTTCAAGCAGTCAAAGTCGAAGGACAGTATATCCGCCGAGTTCCAGGAAGGGGCCCTGCTCATCGCCACATAGATCTGACCAGCAAACATATTTTCGTCGATGGTCAAAGTTGAATGCGGTAATGTGAGGCCTTGAGTCTTGTGAACGGTAAGCGCGAACGCGTTCTGGATGGGAAACTGGCACCTCAATGCCGGGATACCATTAATATTGAAGTATGAAGTGATTCTCTGGACATTAATCTTTACTAAATTTTTGGTTGTAGGAAAGGCGACCTCAACATTATCATCATCAACGATTTTTGTGACAACTCCAATGGTTCCATTACATATGTTGTGTTCAAAAAGCCTGTTATTCAGATACATCACGCGGGCACCGTGACAGAGCTTGGGAGGTTGTGTAGTTCTTGAAGTGTAACTTATCGTCACTATTGTCAAATATCTGATTATTGAAACATCTCTAGGCTTGGACACAATAATGTCGGAGCTCTCGTCATTGAACGGCAGGTTGTTACAGATGAAAGAGTTGATATCATTGGCTGTCTGTCGAAGGCCAACAACATGTGTTGAGCTTATCATCGCATCCAAGTTACGTGAATTGGATATTTTTTCATTTATCATCGATTTTGATTTCTCAGAGAGTCTTCCAAATCTTAACTCCTCTAACAAATTGTAAAAGTCTAGGTCTTCCTTCTGCTGCTCTGGTTGGGTTAGGAAAAGAGGGAAGAACAATTGCCAAGCCAGAGAAAAAAAGACCTGTTCCCCATTCACAGGAGGCAGTTGAGCAAGGTCACCAATCACAAGGACTGGAATTCCTCCAAACACTCTGCTGCTCTTGTACAATGAACCAAACGTGTTGTTTAGGAATGTGAAGAGCTCGTTTGAGACCATAGAAATCTCATCGATGATGATAACTTTGATTTTTAAGAGTTCTGCCTTTAGCGTTTCATCATCAAGCAATAAGGTCTGATAATGGTTGTTGAACTGCCTGATCTTAAGGGCCGAGTGAATGGTTCTGCCACCTATCCTCTGTGCAGATACCCCGGTGGATGACAGCAACAGCTACTCAATTTTCCTTGATTTAAGCAATATTAACAACATGGCATGTCATGTACGATTTATCAGTGCCTGCTGACCCAGTCATGAAGAAGTACAGGTGTTTGTTTTCACATTCAGGACCCCAAGAATTACATAAGATATTGTAGACCTTGTACTATTTGGCATTGAGGATCAAAGTTGATGTGGCTGCTGATGGTGGCCTTACTAATATTGTTATTTACGTAACATAATATTTGATTTGAAATTAGCCAATCAAAAATGAGGGTAACCTTAGTTGATTAATAGTATAATTTTACTAAATAAATAAATTTTTGAATCTGTTATAGGGAATGCAAATATATTCTAAACAAAGTTGTTTACAATAAGAGGCAAAAATCTTCAGCCATAAACACCTTCCTTTGAGACATCAACCTAAAAATGACTGTGTTATGCAGATAGGAATTAAAATATGCATTGATGATGATATATTTGCTATCTTTTTTAATTGCCCACAAAAACAAGAATTGCCCCAAGACCAGAGTGTTTATTAAAAAAATTATTAAAAATTTTTTTATTAAACTAACATGAGGGAAAAAAATCACATTAAATTTTTTATAACAAATGAAAAAACATGTTCTATAATAAACTTTGTATTCCAGCAGAATGCATTTGATTTAATCTGTGGCATTCTTTTAGAGCTGCAGTAGGGATTTTTATCTGCTTGTAATTGTTATATGTGAAATTGAAATATTATGGAGTGGGTGAAATTCTGATTGGCTAATTTGAATTTCACACATGTAAATTTGAATTTCACATGTGAATTGTGAATTCACATAATTTTATTTTCACATACAACATAGTCAAAGGATAATATATCTGTCATTTCCCATGAAGGTGCTCTACTCATTGCCACATAAACTTGACCCTCTGCAAACATTGTTTCATCTACACTGATAGTAACATGAGGTAGAGTTAATCCTTGTGTTTTGTGCACAGTCAAGGCAAATGCATTTTGGAGAGGAAATTGTTGGTGTGAAGCACAATTACCATTAATTTCAAAATGAGTTACTTCCTTTTGTACAGTCATTTTTACAATATTTGCATTTGTTGGGAAAGCCATTTCTACATTTTCACAATTGATTATTTTGTCACAACACCAATTGATCCATTACAAATACCATACTTATATAATCTATTATTTAAGAACATCACTCTTGCTCCTTCCTGAAGATAGATTTCTTTGGGAAATTTGTAGTGTTGAAATTCATTTATATTGTGATTGTAATCAAGTATAATGTATCAATTGCTGTAGAAACAATTGAGTGGTCTTATAAAAGTTCTTAATAAATTTTGAATTCTCTATTTTATTTTGAATTAAAATTTTACTTTTTTCTGATAATTGGCCAACATGTACTTCTTGGAGCAATTCAGATCATTCTGCTGACGCTTTGGTCTTGTTAGAAATAAAATGAAAAACCTTTTTCATGCTGGTGATTCAAAAACATAATCAGGTCTAATTGGTGGCAATTGTGCTAAATCACCAACAACCAAAACAGCATCAGGAAATTTTTCTGATGTGGATTTACGTAATTATTACACTATTTACGTAAGTTTACGGCGGGCCTGTAATATTATGCAAATAAGCATACAAAAATTATGCAATTATTACATCGAGTGTAAATATTACATAATTTTTATGCAAATATTACAACTTTACATATTAAAATTTACGGACGTAATATTGTGATGGGGAAAATTTCCTGATGAGGAACTCCTCCAAAAATTAAGCTATTGCCATGAATGTTTGCAAAAGTTTTGCTAATGAATGTGAACATTTCAGAGTCAACCATTGATAATTCAGATCTACTTTCATTGCCACTGGTAGAAAGGGTTTCATATCTCCCCTCCCAGAACCTTATTCTCAATGCAGAATGGATTGTTCTGCCTCCTATGTTCTGAGCAGCAACCCCAGTTGGAGCTATTAATAAATAATTTGTTTTCTTTGTCTTTAGAAATCTATAACTTGGTGGGTTAGAAATGTTTTTCCTGTGCCTGCAGGTCCTGTTAAGAAAGAATATGGATACTTCCCATTTGATAATTTTCCCATACATTAGATATCATACTGTAAATCTGGTATTGTTCTGGTTCAAACATAAATGGAGAATGGCTATTAGCCAAGGGACATTTTTTTCAAGACTGAGAAATTGATTATATACCAGGTCTGATTAAGGTTGCGGGAGAAACTCCTCCAGAAATCAATCGACAGAGTTTCGACAGGTTACACATTAATTGTTTATTAGAG